ACACACACACACACACACACACACACACACACACACACACACACACAGTGCACACTCTTTCCTGCTTTCCTCTACTGGCTCGGGAGCTCATGTGCCACCCAACATGACAGCTTTGCCTGATTACACAGGCTGAACGTGATGTTCTATTGCGCTTTCTTATTGACTTGTGCCTTTCTTTATCATTCAAGTTCCTTATGTCCTGCTGAGTGACCATGTATCCTTATCTTTGTACCTCTGGTCCTTGCTTTGGAGGTTGGCAGGTACTCGGCAAATAGTCAGTGAACGAGTGAATTGTGTAGTCTCTGAACAGTTGCAATATGATTTTTTTTTTTAGATAATCAAGCAATGTTCTCAGACTCCATTGCTTATATGTGAACCGTATTGGTGTTGGATAACACTTCACGTAATGCTCTTATTTTTACAGAAGTAGTTCTCATTCCTCAAAGTTTTGAGTTTAAACACGATGGCTAGAATCACGTACTCTGAGGATTACACCTTCCTAGTGGCTCCATGAATTATTCATATGCTGTGTGAGGAGGTAGTTTTTAAGTTAAATTAAAATTGTATTCTCTGCAGCTGGGTATAGTAGTACATGCTTTTATTCCTAGCAAGGACAGGCAGACCTGTATGCATTCAAAGCCTGCCTGGTCTACATAGTGAGTTCCAGGCCAGCCTGGCCTGGTCTACATGGTGAGGTAATGTCTCAAAAATTATTACTGTTTTGGCTAAATATTGCTTAAAGCCATGCCACCTGACCTCCCGCAATTCTTCTTTAGATGGTGTCCATGTTTCAGACAGGCACCCAGCTTGTTGTGTACTGAGTCTCACTTTATCTATCTGATCCTCCTGCCTTCGCCTCTCAAATGCTGAGATTACAGGCACGCACCCCCACACCCGGGTTTATGTGATGCTAGAGATACGACCCCACACTTTGTTCATACTAGACACGCACTCTTCCAACTCAGCTGCACCCCCAGTCCTCAGCTCATCCTTAGATAGGACAGTGATACCCCAAGCAGAATAAAATATAGTTTTGAACAGAAATAGTTAGAATAGTTAGCTTCATCAGGAATGAACACGCTTGGGAAAACCTCGTGCCTACTGAGATGATCTGGGAGAGACTCAGGATATGCTCTCTCTGGAGTTGTAGCTCCGACACATCAGGAGTGGACTGAAGAGTATCCTGTAGTGGCAATGACATTGGTTTTGGGGAGATGAGGAGTTCAGGCCAACACTGGTAACTCTACTTAAAGTAAATCTGAATTAAAGTCATATTTGCTGGTGAGGATGCAAAAAAAAAAAAAAAACAAAAAAAAAGAAAAGAATATAATAAGTGTATAATAAATAAACCACTGAAAATTTGAGCTTAGGCTAGGATATTGAGTTCTTTCTAACACTGGCTAAGTTGAGCTATAGCGACATTCCTATCTATAGGAAACACACCTGATGTGAGTCTTCTTGCAAATCCAAAGTGGGCACCTATTAAAATTGCCCTGGTGGGTTGGATTTTCACTTTCCTTAGCGAGTGTTTACTTGGCTGAGCCCGCTGGGTGGACTGACCCCTTGCAAGACACTTGAAGGTTAAGTAACTGCAGAGCGTGGCTAATCCGGCTAAGCTGCTGATGCTAAATGTCGGCTGGCATTCTCGGCACACCGGCTTCTATATGCGCTTGATTTGGCACCTGCTTTCTGTCCAGAGAGCCACTTTGGAGCTATGTGGCTCTTTGCACGTCTGTGCCTTGTGCTTAGCTTTCTGGGAGGAGTGAGCTGTACCTGTCCCTCTCAGTGCACCTGTGATTTTCACGGCGGAAATGACGGCTCGGGATCAAGGTATGGCCTTGTCCTTGCTGCTAAGTACTCTGACTGTCCTGGTGAGAAGGGCCCAAACAGATCAATGTGATCTTATGAAGGTAATTTATTTATTCGAAATCAGAGGGAGTTAAATCCATGAGACATGGTTCAGTTTTTATTAGCTGGTTGCCCACTGCCTCACTATTTTTTATTTTTTTTTTTTATTTTTTATTGTGAGCAACGGTTTACCTCTCAGAAGCCTCCCAAGGTTTCTGAAATTCCAAAAGCACTTTCTGTCTTACAAGAAAAATGTTTATTACACTGCTATGCACAAAACGCCCCTCTCTGGAGATCAAAGCACATTTGGGGTAGGGGTGGGGCATGATGTGGGGGGAGGGGTGTTACAGAAAGCACAAGAGAGTGAGGCAGGGTAGGAGCTGCAGGCTTGTCTGTATGTCTGCTGTCAGAGCTTCCCATTTCACCTGAGGTTTTTTTTTTATACTAACAAGTTGGTAGTAAAAGGACAAGAGTGAAGTTGGTGAGGTTAATAATTTGTTGTTTTTTTTTTAATTTAAGTGGAATTTACAAAAGTAAAGATGTTTGGAAACTACTACCTGTTGCAGTTATTGAGGGCCCTCACAGATGTTATTAAGTCTCTACATTGCTTTAGCACAGAATTATAATTTATGATGCACATGAATCCTTTTACATGTAGACGAATAGAAAACAGAGCCCTTATTAACCAAACATGGTAGACTCTGCTTTTTTTTCTTTTTGAGAGTATTTACTAAAAAGTAAATGAATTCTTGTGAATTCACAAACAATGAGTTTCTGAAACAAGGTTTAATAAAGAATAGCCCAGTTTTAATCAAATGATAATTAGGGTTGAGGTATATAGCTCAATGATACAGCACGTACCTGGCACATTTAAGGAGCGCATCTGACATCCAGCACAGCAGTGATGATGAAGATGATGCCAATGATGATGGTGCTGGGGATGATGGTAGTAAGAATGATGATACAATTAAAATTCATTTGTGAATGATTTTATGTAGCCAACTCTGGAACCATTTTGAGACATTCCCTGAGAAGTAAAATGCAGTACAAAACAACAACAACAACAACAACAACAAAAAAACCACCAACAAAAAACCCAAAAACAAACAAACAAACAAAAAAAAACAAACAAATTTGTGCCTATATTCCCAAAGATTTACAGCACTTGATGACCAGGGGAATTTCTAGGAAAATTGTCAGAATGTCTTCTTCTCTGTGGCAGTTCCATTATGGTCTTTTTATAAAAGACACAGAACATTATGCCTGATTAGGCCTTTCAGAAGATTCTAGGTCAATACCTGTCATGTGTGAGTAAGGAGACAAGAATACACGGGACAGGTGGCTGACCCGTCTTGGGTCTCAGCACCCCAGTGATGAAGTCCCTGAGCCCACCAAGGTGCTGTAATTCCAGCTGGCCACACAGCTTCTTTCCATGACAGCGCCCTGAAACACTCACATACAGAGTGAAAACCTCTATCATTGCAGCACAAAACAACACCGAAATTTGTGATAAGGAAACCAAGGAAGCACCCCAGAAACCATTCAAGGTTTCCTGTGGTCTTCTAAAGTAACGGAAAGGAGGAGCCACTGGCAGGGCCTCGTGGCTTTACACTGCTTGCTGCTGTTTACATTTTGGGCTAGTTTTATTTTATTATTATTTTTTAAACAGTCTTGTTTACTTTTATTGTTATAAATCATGATTTGAATGTTGTTTTCTTTTAAAAAACTGCGTATTCACTTTGAGCAATTCAAATGGGTGTGGCGATATGAATAGGTTTTCATTTGTTTGTTTTGTTTTTCAGACTGGGACAAATCGAGATTCCTCACATTTAAACCCACACTTGGGACAGTTTTCTTTCCTTTTCTTTTCTTTTCTTTTCTTTTCTTTTCTTTTCTTTTCTTTTCTTTTCTTTTTTTTTCAGGGAGAAAGACACACTTGTACACATGCCTTTCTCCCATTAGCAGTCCTCTCATAAAAGGGTCAGTTTATGATTTTTCTTTTAAAGACAGCCTGTCATGTAGCCCAGGCTAGCTGGGAACTCTCTACACCTCAGGATACCTTGGATGCCTGATCCTCCTGCCTCCGTCTCCTGACTGCCATGACTACAGGTGCGTGCCATGCCTGGTTTATGGTGTGTTGGGGACCTGGCAAAGAGACTGGTGCATGCTTGGCAAACACTTTACAGCGGACGTATACTCCAAGCCCCAGTTTATGGTTTTGAGCGGATTCTTTTAACACTGGTCTTTTTTTTTTTTTTTTTTTTTTTTTTTTTTTTTTTTTTTTTTTTTTTTGTTTTTTTTTTTTTTTGTTTTTTTTTTTTTTTTTTTTTTTTTTTTTTTTTTTTTTTTTTTTTTTTAGAGGTTCACTTTGGGGTTGGACAGAAGTGGTTTGTTAGGTAGTTCTGTAGAATCCCACGAGCTGGATGACATTAAGAAGTCATATACCATGGGAAAGGGGGGAGGGGACAGAAATAAATTTAGATGCTTAACCAGTTGTTGGTAATGGCAGCAAATGCTGACTGAGAACTTAGGTGCCAGGAAGACATATACTTTTACATTCATTTAAATCAACCATCATAATGTGACAATTTGATAATGGGACTGTGAAGTAGCATTCCCCGAAAGGAAGAACTCAGCTTTATTCTGTTACCCCTTATCTGCCTCTTTGAAAAGCTGTGATGACTAAGAAAGAAATGGGTGCGACCTGTGTTTCTAAAGCCTAGCAGGAAACTCTCCAAAAATTTCCATTGGACACCATGACGTTTCTCACAGCTGATCAATTTTTCACTATGAAAATGGCCGTTTTGAATGGTTCAGTCTAACGGTTGCCATATTATGATAATGGGTAGGAAAGGAGATGGTGATGATGGTGATGATGATGAGGTAACACTATTAATAAAGAGGTTTCCAGACTAAACAAGTATTTTGTAAAAATCCAGTAGGGAATGAAAATTTTGATACACGTTTCAAATAAGGCTTTATTTTAAAATGAGTCTTGGAGAGTAGATCTTCTTCTTGCATTGCTCTCGTGACAACAGGTCAGTGTTGTGTAACGACCTGGATATGAATGAAGTTCCTACAAACTTCCCTGTGGACACCGTGAAGCTCCGCATAGAGAAGACCGTGGTGCGCAGAATCCCCGCCGAGGCCTTCTACTACCTGGTGGAGCTGCAGTACCTCTGGCTCACGTACAACTCGGTGGCCAGCGTAGAAAGCAGTAGCTTTTATAACCTGAAGCAGCTGCATGAGTTGCGCCTGGACGGCAATTCGCTGACTGCTTTCCCTTGGGGGTCTCTGCTGGACGTGCCCCACCTGAAGACGCTCGACTTGCACAATAACAGGATAAGCAGCGTGCCAAATGCGGTGGTCAGGTATCTGAAGAACCTTACCTACTTGGATCTGTCAAGCAACAGGCTAACCACACTGCCACCAGATTTCCTGGACAGCTGGTCTCATTTAGCTATGACACCGTCTAGAAGCCCGGACCTTCTTCCACCGAGGAGAATTATTCTCGGTAAGTCCGCAAGCTGCTGGGCACCTTGTGTATCGAACTAGAGAAATGATCCCTGAAAGTATCGTCTTTGCATCTTATGTCGAGCTGCCCTGTTGTGCATGGTTTGGGGGCACGCGCGCTCCCATGTGTCTGTGTTTAACTGAGGTGCTAACCCAGGGCCTTGCTAAGTATATAATAAGCATATGTACCAGCGAGCCACGCCCCCTGAATCCGGTCAATCTACACCTACAGACCTGCTTTTTCTGTAAGAGGTAGGGGCTGTGCATGTGAGTGCATGTGAACCTGAACCAAACTGAGCGACACTGCTCTCAAGCTGAGAGAACTTACCAGCCTGTCACGCTTACGTGATCACACCAACCTACACGCTGCTACCCTCTGCTGCTCTGTTCATTTTCCAACCTCTCACCAGGTCCTTCCATAGTAGACAAGGTGCCGCTGCTTTTATTAAATCAAAAGAAATGGCAGGGAAATTCACTGTTGTGCTGGTCAGTGCTGGAGAGCATTTGAGATTAGGCCACGCTCAGGAGTATTTGTGGGCAGGGTGTATTTTCTGTTTTTTTTTTTTCTTTTTCTTTTCTCTTCTTTTTTTTTTTTTAAATTACAGTTTATTCACTTTGTATCCCAGCTGTAGCCCCCTCCCTCATCCCCTTCCAATCCCGCCCTCCCTCCCTCTCCTTCTCCCATGCCCATCCCCTAGTCCACTGACAGGAGCAGTTCTCCTCCCCTTCCCTCTGACCCTAGCCTATCAGGTCTCATCAGAACTGTCTGCGTTGTCTTCCTCTGTGGCCTGATAAGGCTGCACCCCCACCCCACCTCAGGGGGAGGTGATCAAAGAGCCAGCCACTGAGTTCTTGTCAAAGATAGTCCATGTTCCCCATTCTAGGAGACCCACTTGGAGACTGAGCTGCCATGGGCTACATCTGTGCAAAAGTTCAAGGTTATCTCCATGAATGGTCCTTGGTTGGAGTATCAGTCTCAAAAAAGACCCCTGGGCCCAGATTTTTTGGTTCTGTTGCTCTCCTTGTGAAGCTCCTGTCCCCTCCAGGTCTTTCTATCTCCCCCTAAGTCACAAAGATAGATATTACCTGAGAATATTTTATATTTATATAAGAAACAGAAGGCTGAAGCTTTGATTAATTGGTTTGACTCACTAAAATGTTATACTTTTCACCCATCAAGACCATACTGTCAGTTCCCAACTTATGTCCTCCTGGCCATTGAAGAGGTCATTTTTTTTCTCAGATAATTAAAAGGAATTTCTAGGTGCTTGGTCAGTGAGATGGCATACTAGTTTTGTTTATATTTTGATGACATGTGATTTATTATTATTTACCCTTAGAGCTTTCTGGGAACCGTTAAAGAAATATCTACATACCACAAGATCACAGAGGAATTCTGCTTTCTTTATAGACAGAGTCTTTTTGATTATTGTATAGTTTTTAATTAATTAATTTATTTACTTATTCACTTAACATCCCGATCGTAGGCCCTCCCTCCTCTCCCCTAGTTCCCATCTTCCCTCCCTATAGGCAAAGTCTTTAAATTCAGTTTTTAGCATTATGACTTTATCTTTTATGCTTATGACTATGATTTACCTCAAAACAGTCTCTGCCTAAGTGCAAAGCAGGGCTTGTGGTTTATTATTTTCTAGATGTCTGGTTGTTCTAACAAGGGTCATTTGTCAGAGGCCTCCCTGCTGCATGGCTACACACCACTGTCTCCACAAAGCTGAATGAGGCCTCACCTTTGCTTTGAGGAGTTACTGTTTGCATGATAAGCTTTGTACAAGAATCCATTTTTGACTTCCCAAACACACACACTCAAATAGCCAATTTAACCCAATTATCCTCACGCATGAAAAATACTGAATTTCTCTCTCAGAAGGGAGGAGGCAGCACTCAGTGGCCCCACCAAGAACAGTCATGAAATTAATTAATGAATGCAAATAGCTCTTACCGTGCCTAGTGTATTTCCTTCAAAGAATGTGGGTAATAGTTTAACCTTAGCGACTTCTCGTACCTTTGTCCCCAGGTGGAAGGCTGCATGCCGTCAGTTATTGTAGAGCTATTTTTATTCACATCTTAAAAATTGTACCTTTGACCTGAGATGTTTCAAAACTGGAACAAATAGGCTTCATGTTTTTGAGGAATTCAAGAATCTTTTCTCTTAGTTGATATAACTTTCATATGTAACCAGTTAGATTTATTTTTAACTTTATCATAACTGACACACTTTAATAATTGTTTTAAAATATTAATAAAATGGTTAAAGTTCTAACTCTTGAATATTTCCCTGGGTAGACATTGGCATTGCACTTTGACATTTTTACCTACAGATCGTAACACTTAGAGCCACCACCCGTGGGGGTAAATGTTTTTAGTTGACAGAGATGAACTGTGGTAGAAGGCTTATTAGATTAAGAGGCTAAAGAAATATGGGGTTAGTCAGGACTCTAAGCGACTTAAGAAATCAAAGTAGTAATCTCTTTGTGCTTTAGCCTCTTCTGGTGTGGAATCAGGAAAATCGCCATCTTCCCAAGGTGGCAAAGAGCTGAGTGCGGTGTGAGTCGTAGCAAGGTGACCTGCTGGATGCTCCAAGATCCCGACCCTTGAGTTCAAATCCTGCCTGCCCAGTCGAGTACCCTTAGACAAGCTTCCTTCCTTTCCTGAGCCCTGGCTTTCTATTCATTAGAAGGAGCATCTTGGTGCTGTTACTCGCCTCACTATGCTGTGAGGATTGAGGCTGTTTAGTGCTTTTATCCAGCAGTTTCCTGGGCTTTGTTTTCTGAATGTCTGTGAGCTCGGGTGAGAACCGATGCTCCCGTTTATTCTGCACTACCTCTGTGAAGATTTTGGTTACAGAAAATTCTTCAGAAGGTAGAGAAAAGACCCCTCCCAGAGGGAGAGGAGGGCACATTGACTGCCAGTGTAACAAAAACAATTATTTCCTCTACAGCTGTGATTTTCAGTCCTTCACCTCTCACCAAAGATCGGTCAAACAGTGGCAGGCTGGCTTGTCCGGGTCTGAGTGGTTTCTCAAGGTTTGGTTCTCGGTGAGAAAACCATTAAACTCTTGGGCAAACTGGAATGGCTCAAACCCTGGGCAAACTCATCCTGGGTTGGGATAAAATCTTGTCACTTTTACAGTGCTTGACAAGTGCAATATTTGCCATGTGGGAAAGTATTAGTGAAGAAAAACATCCAGCATTGCCAGTGAAGGATATCTTCAAAGCAAGGTGTTCTGCACGCATTAACTGTGATAGAAAATGGCGACTTTGGTCTCTTGGGCAGATTAGAAATCCATCTTTAAAGCCACATGACAGCAAAAGCTGGGGCTGGAGAGGTAGCTCAGTGGTCAAAGCACTTGCAGAGGACCTGAATCCAGTTCCCAGGGCCCCTATTGGGCACCTCACAACTGCCTGCAACTCCAGTTCCGGGGGATCTCATGCCCTCTGGCCTCTTTGCACACACGCACACATATATGCTAATTGAAACGAACAAAGACTTTTTTACATTAAATGTTCATCCAAGTTGATAGATCTAAAACATGAAGCTATTCCTATTTCACTTCATTTATATCTTTGTCATTTTGTAGAGTAAGGTGGGTGTTCACATGTGCCATTTTGAATCTTTAGATTTTACACGTTCCTTCTCACGCTCTTTGGCACGGTGACAGCCTAGACACATGGCATAGACAGCACAGCACCTGACCTGTTGCTTCCTGCTTTCTCCTTGTTCTCCTTGTCACTAGTGTCCTTTCTCTTAAATTAGTCAGCAGGCTCGTGACTGGGTCTTCATTTTCAGTGGTGGTCGTGAATGCAGAGGCATTTAGAACCCTCCTTGTCTTTCTTCCCACCCCACACTCGCAATATCTCACTCCCCTTCACAGTCCCTTTTCTGTCTTCATGTCCTATACACAGGCACATGTATCTACCCAGAGGTATACTTGAGATCAAGATTCTGAATGAAAACATGTAGTGTTTGTCTTTCTAAGCCTGACTTACTTCATTCACGTAATGATTTCCAGTATCATTCAACTTCCTGCAGGAAAAAAAAAGAAAAGGCGGAATTTCATTTTTCTTTACAGACAGAAAAGCATTCATTGTATAGAGGTACCACATTTTGTTTATCCTTTCATTGGTTAGTGCACATCCATATTGGTGCCATTTCTTGGCTACTGTGATAGTATGGCAGTAAACATGAGTGTGTGTGTGTGTGTGTGTGTGTGTCCGAGGTATGTTGACTTAGAGTCCTTTGGATGTATTCCCTGTAGGGGTGTGGGTGAGTGATTTGGTGGTACTACTTTTGTTTTTGTTTATCTGTTTTCAGGATCCTCTACGGTGACTTCCATAGTGGCTGCACCAGTTTATATTGTTGTGAGCCATGTATAGAGGCTGATATAGGGTCTTTTTAGTGAACAACCTTCTCTTGATGCTTCAATCCCCATTTACACTCAGGGGAGAAAGCGGGTGTCTTGATTACTTTTCTATTGCTGTGAAGAGATGCTATGAAAGGAGACTTATAAAGAAATCATTTAACTGGGGGTTTCCTTACAGCTTTAGGGGTTAGTCCACGATCACTGTGATGAGAAACATTGCGTCAGGCACACATGCATGGCACTGGAGCAGTGGCTGCGCGCTTACTTGTGGTAGAAAACAAGAGACCGAATGTGCCTCAAGGCCCAACTCCATCACACACATGGCCCTACAAGACCACACCTCCTCATCCTTCCCAGCTAGTTCCACCAGCAAGGGACCAAACATTCAAAATAGGAGCCTATGGTGGTCATCTTCATTCAAACCACCTCAGACTACAGTGGCGACGGCAGCACAAAAACAAACAATGTGTTTAAGTATAGCAGCGACTCTGTTAGAACACTGTCTGTTTTTGTACTACTTGATTAGACAGTCCTAGAGGCAGTGATGCTCTGTCAGGAAGCTCTTGGGACCTTTTTTCTTCTCTCTCTTGCAAAGATTCCAAGGAGAGAGACCCTTCCCACTCTGTTGTGTTTCTCAGCACACAACAGCGTGTACAGAAGGAAGTGGAGGAAGCCAGTGAAGCACTAAGGGAGCGAGCAAGCAATGGTTTGTGTGTTTCTTCTCTCTGCTCATGACTGTGGATGTGATGTTTTGGGAACCTACCTTGCCTTCCCTGCAATAATGGACTCATAATCCAAATATCCTCTTCCCCACGGTTGCTTTTGGTCAGGGTGTTTTATGGCAACGGAAGTGACCCCAGGACACGTTGTTTTCACTTTTAATTTAATTACTTACTTAACCAGTATTTAGTTATTTTTTTAACCAATATTTATTAAAATTAATTAATTAGTTAGAGACGGGGCCACAGTATGTAGCCCTGACTGGCCTTGAATTTGCTATGTAGACCTGCTAGTCTTAAACTCATAGAGAGATCTGTCTGCCTCTACCTCCTGAGTGCTGGGAGTAAAAGTGTCTGCCCCCACACCTGTCCCAACTCGTTTTTCATAAATAGGCACATTTCATACTTCAGTTGATAGATCAAAAATGTTACAGATCGGGCATTCTACCACACTAGTCTGATGGTATTGGATCGTACTGTTAATTTGCTGACCAACCTTAAATTTCCTCTAATCCCATGATCATTATTTTTATCTTATAGACCGACAAAATGTTATTGCCGGAGAGAGAGAGAGAGAGAGTGCTGGAGTTTTCTCAGCTTTCCCCTCTTACAGATGATGAAGTAGGGGCTCAGGAGGCAGCCCCATCAGGCTTCCCAACCCCGTTTAGAACCCATGCGTGGCAGGCTTGCTTCCCCTCCATATCCATTCGTCTTCCATGCCATGCTTAAACCCGCCCTTAGAATGTCAAGTCAGCTGGTATTGATAGTGGTTAGTGGGTATCTAGCAGTCTGGGGGTGAAGTAAGGTTGAAACTTGATTGTATCCGTTTGCTGTCAGGGCTGTACTGATCTTACATGTTTAACCTCCGTCAACAGCAAGAAAATGTGGAGCAGAGAAGAGAGAAGCTGTGTACAGAAACAATATTTCTGTGCTGTTTATTGCTCACCCATAATTTGAAACTTTGAATTTATCAACAATAGATTTTAAGTGTTATATTTAGGAAGGACAGTTAAAGTTTACAGATATCTCTATCATGAATCATCCATTGTCAGGTAATTGGCATGAAGTAGTAAATGAACATCTGTGGCAGAATAGTGGCCACTGTGTACGGTCTGGGAGAGTTGTCACATCTATCTAACGCTGCGCAGCTTCCTAGAAAATTGGAGTTTCAGCCTAGATATTAGATTTCACAGCCACACTCAGTTTTTCAATATTAGGAAACAAGCAAACAAACAAACAAGAAGTCTGCTTATTCATCCACGCGTGCAACTGGGTGAAGGAAACAATATTCAAAAGAAAATAGTACAAATTAGCATTCATTAGAGGACTAGTCACAGATTCACAGGATTTAATGTAAGAGGAAAGAGTTCAAGGTTATTTACCCATAGGAGAAAAACAAACTTGACAAATAGGAGATTAAAATGTAACCAGTCCTGGCAGGAAAAGGAGCCCTCATGACCTGCTGTTACAGTACCGGTAGGCAGAGGTGAAAATACGGTCCCTACAAACCGTAGGCAGTTCTGTGTCCAGCACTGTTAAAATTCCTTAAATCATAGTTCTCTGTTCTCAGCTCAGATCCCAGGCCATCAGTAAAAACCACAATGGCAAGTCTCCAGGGCCAGCCCTTGTCTCAGGTTTTGTGGCGAGGCCGTTGGTTCCGAGGTAGCACCTCTAGAGAGACATCATCGCCTTACTGCATGTTCTAAAGAGCCACCTTGGGTCTCTCAAAGACTTTCAAAGTCTCACTGTGGTTGTTTTGCTCTGAATGCCTTTCTTAAGTTGGTAATTTTGGAGAGGCTGGGAATGAGCCCAACGTCTTTGGGTTTGGGTATTTTTTGGTATTGAAAGGTTCTCCAGCTGCGGTGCCCATTACTCTCCAGAAGCTCTCTCCCCAGCGTCGGGTTCTGTGTTCCACGTGGGCATTCCCTTATGCAGAGAATGTTCTGTCACAGAAGCGTGCTTTCTCCTCTTCACATACCCTGGATGACAATGCCACTAGTCTTTCTGCCGTTCCACAAGAAGGCTCTTTCTTCTCCTTTCTGGAAACTGTAAACTCATCTTCCTTTAAGCTCTCAAGGGAGACTCCTTGAGGGCCAAATAATGCCAGCTAACAGTTTCTGAAGCTGAGGTAGATACCGAACGTGCTTACAGCTGGAAACCTTCAGCCTATACACCCCCTGCAAGCTGGTCCCTCTTGTACTGAGATTTGGGCACATCACCTTGGCAGTTACCACACATGACATCCATGCAAAGTCACTCTCTGGTCCTATCTCCTCGTTACTGCTGGTTCTACTTCCACGAGCCTTGTTTTATCTCAATATGTCTTCAAGTTACACAAACCCACGACACATTCCAGGCTGAGCTAGGCAGCTCTTAGCACGGTGTATTGGGCTGAAAAGTGCTTGCTGAGTGTTCCAGGACTGTGCACCTCTATCCCTTACTTGTGGCATGCTGTGGTACCTGGGTTCAAATCTTGGCTCCAGTACTGATTGGCCATGTGATGTTGGTCAAGATTTAGTCCCTCTATGCCTCAGCTTCTTCAACTGTAAAATGGAAATAATAAAAACAATACTGCCTTCCCCACAGGATTATTGGGATTAAATGAGAGTAACTACAGAGCAGAGGTCAGGAAATACTAGCAACAAATATTAACAACTAGAAGAGAATGTGCTCACTGAGGTTGCTGGCTTTTAGGGCAAAGTCGACGTGCAGGTGACTGTACATTGTCCCTCCCAGAGCTTCATTTGTGAGAGAGACAATGTATGAACCATCTATTACAGACAAGCTTGTGCTGCAAACTTAATTCATGCTGGTGACCCTTACCGTCCCTTTCCTTCTGTGTTTTAGGTTTACAGGACAACCCTTGGTTCTGTGACTGTCACATTTCCAAAGTGATCGAGCTGTCAAAAGTCACTGACCATGCCGTTATACTTCTCGATCCCCTGATGGTCTGCAGTGAGCCTGAGCGACTCCAAGGAATCTTGTTTCAGAGGGCGGAGTTGCAACAGTGTCTGAAGCCGTCAGTGATGACCTCGGCTACCAAGATCACATCTGCCCTGGGTAGTAACGTTCTGCTGAGGTGTGATGCCACAGGCCACCCCACCCCACAGCTGATGTGGACCAGATCCGACAGCTCACCCGTTAACTATACAGGTATAATTAGTATTTGGTCATGAAGCAAGTTTACAAAAATCTGGACTACGTCTCACGGTTTTGTGCAAATTTTAAACGGCTGTTTAATTCTTAGGACACCGAGAGCGTTGAATGCAAGAGATACGGATTGTAGTTTTGTTTTTGTTTTCAGCGGTGGTAACTGAGCCTGGGCCTGACGCATGCTAAGCCAGTGCTCTTCCAGCAACTTCAGCCTGTAAATGCAAATGAAATTCTGTTTCAACCCTTGGAATAAAACCCAGGGCTTTCTGTGCTATATTCCTAGTTCTCTGGACACAAGAGATTTCAAGAGTGCATTTTATTGATTAATATTTTCTCACTTTATATAAATAACTGGAAAATATTTAGCTGATCAAGACATTTTCTTCCCTTAGGTAGCAATTTCACGTGCAGTAAGTACACAATAGCCACCGAGGCTTTTGTCTTGTTCTGTTATCTTGGGTACATTCATTTTAAAGTGCAAAACCTAGAAAGCATTTTTTAAAAAGACTTTCTTTCATACAACTTTTTGAGCAACCATTTAAATACCAAATTACTCAGAGAGCTTACTATGGGGCAAAAATATACGTTTTAGAAATATTAATTATTAGACTTTTCAAACACTGTTAAGATCAAGTCCTGACTTTGGCCCACATAAGCGAAGATATTCTGATAATTGGAAGGATATAGTCCTCAGACTCTTTACAATAAAATTAAAACTGGAGCTAAAAGAATTAAACTTGTCAGAATAAAGAAGTCAAGGTGTAATATTCCTATGGAGTGCTGGCGAGTGACCCACAGTTTAAGCTCTTGAAGTTTGAGTTCTCATCTGGGCTATTAGCACCCTGATTTCTGTGACACTATATTTTAGGAAGCTTCTGTCTTGATTTGAGATAAGAATTCTAATGTTTAGCAATGGAATATATCAATTTTCTGCATATTTCAAGAAAGAGTGTTCTTGTTTACAGAGTCACATCCTCCAGTTTATCTGAGTTTAATATGAGATGAATGATTTGGAACTCCTCTATGCCAGAAAATGACCTTTTGTGCCTTCTACCTATGGGCAAAGATGTATTTAAGCATGGTGAGGAAGAGTTAAGTAAAGTCTTAAGATAAACATTTTATAGATTCACACTTAGAGTTGGAAGGGAGCTTTCAGGGTTAGTTTTTCTCACCACAAACGTAGAGGCCCTGCTATGTGCTGTGGAGTCTGTCTGTTGGGAAAACAGTCGTCTAAATTTGTGTGGAGATGGTACGCACAGACCAGGGCCTAGACAGCAGGTATGAACAGTTTGCAGCAAGAGCGAACAAAGTGCCCCTTTCCCCCAGCTGTGTGAGAGAGACTCCTGCAGAACAGGCATTTCTTTCCCTCCTAGTTGGTGTGCCTGCTCCAAAGTGTCCTTTTTTGTTTTGTTTTAGTAATTCAGGAGTCTCCAGCAGAAGGAGTCAGGTGGTCCATCATAAGCTTGACGGGCATCTCCCACAAGGATGCTGGGGATTACAGATGTAAAGCCAAGAACCTGGCAGGGACGTCGGAAGCCATGGTCACTGTAACAGTCGTTGGTGTTCTTACGACCAGCCCATCACCGGATACTTCAGAGAGAAGCCCTGGAGAGCACCCTGACCAGGATCCGCAGCTGGGATTAGGAAGACCAACGCCTCTGTCTGAGCGGTTATCCCCGGGGCTCTCTTCCACCTCTTCCCACGCTCCCTCAGGTGCTCTGTCCACATCTACATCGCGTCCTCGTTCCTTCTCTTCGCCTCCTGTCTTCTCTGCTGCCTCTGCAGCCACAAGTGTAAAAGCCAGCGTCTCAAAAAAACACCGTCAGGAGCAGCCACCCGCCGCTCCTGTTCCACCCCTCCGGGAAAAGCGAGGCAAAGCTAGAGAAGAACGGAAGTAAGTTTCCCCCACTCAGCGCGAGTAAGAAAGAGGAGCTGGCATTATTGGATCAGGCAATGCCCACGGAAACAAACGTCACTATCGAAGGCCTCAGGGCGACAGGGGAGACTGACGTGAGTGTGACTTTGACATGGAACAGCAGCGGCAACACAGAAAAGTCCCCCGTGTCTGTATTATACTCTAAGTACGGCGAGAAGGACCTGCTGCTAGCGAGTGCAGACTACGGCAAGAACCAGGCAACCTTAAATGGCTTGGAGCCTGGCTGTCAGTATGTGGCATGTGTCTGTCCAAAAGGAGTGGCTCCTCGGAAGGACCAGTGTATCACCTTTTCTACCAACAGGGTAGAAGGATATGACTCACAGTGGTCTCTCCTTATCGTAGTGACCAGTACTGCCTGTGTTATCATCGTGCCCGTAATTTGTTTTTTACTATATAAAGTCTGCAAACTGCAGTGTGCATCAGACCCTTTCTGGGAAGACGATTTGGCAAAAGAGACATATATCCAATTTGAGACCTTGTCACCCAGGTCACAAAGTATAGGAGAGTTCTGGACACGAAGGTGCAGAGATGATGGGGAAAAGTTGCTGCTGTGCTCTAGGTCGAGCATGGACTCTCAGATGAATCTTAAAAGTGATGGTCATAGAGCAGAATACCATTGCTGAGCTTTTGCGGTGGAGATGAATGTGAGCAGAGAAGCGAGGGATCTAAGGCTATCACTGACCCTTCTTTGGACAGATCGGGGGTTTTTATTGCTGGGATGTAGCGCCATGTGACCAAGACTGCATGGAACGGGAAAGGTTTATCTGTGTAAGCTTCTACATCACGGTTCATTTTCAAAGGAAGTCTGGTCAGGAACTGAAACAGGACAGGAACTTGAAGGCAGGAGCTGACACAGAGGCCATGGAGGAGTGCTGCTTACTGGCTTGCTCCTTGTGCCTTGCTCAGCCTGCTTCCTTATAGCATCAGGACCACCAGCCCAGGGATGGTTCCTGGGCCCTCCCACCACTAGTTCAGGAAAGTCCTGCATGCATTCCCAAGGGAGGATTGAGAGCAGGTGGCCAGATGTGGTAAAGAATCGTGGTGCTGCCCCTCAGACTGCTCCACAGTGGGTCTGGGTGGGAGTGGGGTTGTTCTGCTTTCTGCCCTTTATTGCCTTCTGAATGCAATTTTGTGTGTCTCGGTGGAGGCTCCCACCAGGCTGGCTAAACCTGCCAAAACTATTCTTGAGTTTTTCCAGTCTCCTGGGAAGATGGACAGGCTCCTATCTAAAATCTCACCCATGGTTTGGGTTCCCTTGACATCGCTTGATGTGGCTGGAAATCCTGCCAACGTTCTGAATCACAGGTACACAGTGAGGAGGGCCACTGTAGAAGAGGCCATTACACCAAACTCTATGTCCCCTGTACAATGAAGCACAGAATAGATTTTTAAAGTTGTGCCAGGAGTTCTGAGCTATCCTGAGAAGTAAGTTCTGATAAAATTTATTTTGTGTAAGACACATGTTGGCTTTTAATGCACTACACCATAGAAATAATACGTAGCAGGAGAATTAAAAGTTATTCTAAACATTTCCTTGTTAAAAATTAAAAATAATTTTAGTTTAGACATGATCTGTATGTTGAAAGAACAACTGTGGGTGAATAGCTTATTTAAATTCTAAAACTTCCCTGTGTCTATAACTTTCTCGTTTTCTTTTCCCCCCTTTGCCTTTATTTTTCTTTTTGTCTTTCCCCTCTTTTTCTGTTTTCTCTTCCCTTCCCTTCTCCCTCCCTTCCCTTCTTCCTCTTCTCTTTCTCTTTCTTTCCCCATTTCTCCTCTTCTCTTCCCATTGCGCTTCCCTTTCTTTTCCCTCTCTCCCCTCCTTTCCCCATTCCTTCTCCTTTATTTTCCCTCTCTCCTCTCCTCTTTCCTCCTATGTATCCTTGGTGCTCTTATCAACAAGTGCATTGTCTAATGATCTAGTTTTAGTTTAGTATTCATTGTTAGGATTTTAAAAATAATTTTGTTTAACTCCAATTTGTGTTAGATTAACTTATTTTAAACTAAATTGTCAATAAACATATTTATTTACTATGCTATAGGTGTCATTCAATTTTGTCATCATGTATATAAATGATTCAGATAAATACCAAATTATTCACAACATATTAGCAAGTCTATGACTGTGGGAGAATGTTATAGACTTCTGAGCCCGTCAGTGGATATGGAGAGGCACCCAAATTATATGAAGGAAATATGTTGAGGCAGGTGGCCTGCCTGGACCATCAGATATGATAAGTTGATGATTTCCTTCAAAATCAAAATCAAGTCCATCCGCGAGTTGATTTTGACCATTAAGGAAAGGCTGGTTGGGGACATGGAGTCAGGAGGCTGGGAGAAAGCCCTGTGTTACTCTTCAGCCCAGTACTGACGCATGAGGTGTATTGCAAGTAACTCGTGAAATAGTGGAAGTTGTAAGACTGTAAGTTGTCTACCTTAAAGGCACTCAGCCTGGACGTGTAATCAAAGTATGCATCCCACTGATGTAATTGCTAGCCTTTTCTTTTAAGTGTGCTTTCTCAGGTAGGAAAGGAAGACTGAAGTCAGATTAGACAACATGAAATGCATAAAGTTAATAGCTTAATAGTGCTAATGGAGAAAGACTGGTGAGCACGCCTAAATGGCATAGAGCCAATGGGTATGCCAATCAAAAATGACTATGTGGTCCAACAAGATGGTTCAGGAAGTAAAGGCACTTGCTGTTTGATGATGATAGTTTGATGATGTGAATTCGGCTCCTAGACCCCATGTAAAGACAGAAGGAGAGAAATGACTCAACACAGTTGCTCTTCTGATCCCTGGAGACAATCCACGGCACATACCAGACACGCACTAAAATTATGTTCCTCCCAATGATTGTAATATTTTACATTAGGAAAACATTTTATTCTGTTATAATGTACTAAAAGATGGAACATACTGAAATATCCAGATTCCCTTTTTTTGAGATTTTATTTATTTTCATTTTATGTGTATAAGTCTTTTGCCAGAGTCTTTTGTCCGTACATAATTTGTGTGCAGTGCCTGTCGCGGCCAGAAGAGGGCATCGGATCCTCTGGACTAGGGTTCCACACCTCTGTGAGCCACCATGCTGGTGCTGGGAATGGAGGAGCAGCCAGTGCTCTTAATCGCCAAGCCACCTCTCCAGCTTTAAATATGCAGATTCTTCAAATGTTCCAGAAAGGTAGCACTGGATAGAGTCAAAGAAGTTTGTCCTGGAATTTGGAACGCATTCACAAAAGCTCAAAGAAAAAACAAAAACGATTTTGACCCCTAGACTCTGGTCTCAAAAAAGAAATACGAAAGATAAGAAGATGGCCCCCTAGGTAAGAGTGTCGGTGTACAAGCGTGCACTCCTGCACTCAGTCCCCAGCATGCCAAAAGCTAGGCATGACTATGTGTATTCCTGTAATTTGTCTATAACGCCAGCACAGGCAGGTAGATCCTGGGAGCTTGCTGACTAGCCAGGCTGGTCAAAGTAGTGAGCTTTCATTTCAGTGAGAAACCCTATCTTAAGAGAGTAACTCCATAATATGACTTTCACATGTACTTACATGACCATGTGCCTCTGTGTACTCATGTTCGTGTACCACACACGCATGCGCACACATTGCTCGCATGTACAGATGCACACCTGCATGGACACACACACACACACACACACACACACACACACACACACACACCACAGTAACAAAGAGAATAGAAATAACATAGGTGAAAAAATTTAAAGAAAGAAGCAGAGCTAAACATTTCCACTTGCTGCCATACTACACAGGACAGATGGAGGATGTCACAGGGCCATGTGGCCAGCCTACAGTGGGAGCCATCGCAATGTACGAGTGTGTGGTGGTCAGATGGGAGAGACAGAGAAGTGGAGCAGCTTGAGCAGTATGACGACAGATGGAACTGGAGACTCCAGGGTGGAGAGGAGTAGCCTGCTGTGAGTGGCCAGCCCTGCCCCTCCGTGGGGCCATGGCGAGGTCCCAGCCAGAACTGCTGCTGAGGGCCATGTCTGGGTCTGTGCCTCCGCAGTGGCAGGGGTTGGCATTATGAAATATAATGTGGCAAGGGGGTACCATGGTGGGCCCATGCCAAGGTGTGCCCCTGAGAAATTAAACCACCCCACAGACCTGGTATAAGGAGGTTTGTTGTGGGAAGGGAGAGAGGGGTGAGTGTACGAAGAAGAAGTAGAGGCAGATGAGTGGACATGTAGACAGGCAGACAGACGGGAGCAGAGCCATGATGGCAGCCAAGTGGGGGCACAGAGAAGGAGAGATGGGGGGGAGAGAAACCACCTGGAGCAGAGAGAGAGCTGGGGCGGAGAGCAGTCCTTTTATCCGGTGCGGTAGGTCATGAGCAATTGCTAGGTCCCTGAGGGCAGGGCAGCAGAATCTCCTTTATGGGGTCCATGTCCATGGCTCTGTTACCACTGAGAACATGGGAATGTTGGGGAAACCACCAGGAGCCACGAGGCTGTCCAGGGACTGTACAGAACTGGCACTTTGCCCCTCACTAGCCACCGTTATCTGGAGAGCTGGCCCTACCTCTCACCAGTGGCAGCGCTCAGGAGAGCAGGCCCCTGTGCCTCAACCAGGCAGCCCAGTAGAGCTGGCCCTGGTGGCAGGGGTGTGGGTGAGCCCGCCCCAAGAGAGTGAATGTGGGAAAGCTGACCCCACCACTCCTGTGCTGTGGCGTGGCACAGGCGCAGAGGTGGTGCCTGAGCCCCTCCCTGCTTGCCACCTCCAGCAGCTGGAAAAGCTATCCACAGGGTCATGAGCACAGGAGAGCTAGCCTAGCCTTTCACCAGTTTTAAAACTGTTCACATATGAGAACACCTTTGTTAAAAATAAATAAGTAAATAAATAAATAAAACCTCTAAACTGGCTAATGAGCCTGAGACACTGGCTTGGACCTCAGAATAAATACTGAGCTCATGGAAAGATGAGAGAGTAGTCTGACTTAGACTGTGTCACCCTTCCCTCGCCCCAAAGCTGGCACGGCCTCCCACAGATGGGCTGTGCCTGGGTCCGTGGTTTCGTCAATGGCCAAAGACAGCCAGAGGTATACCGTACATTAGTTCCTCTAGCATCCTGAGGTGCTGTCCAGAAAACTTCCTGTTTGCACTCAGGGAAACGCTGGGGTAGTAGAGGCCAGACTTTCTGTAGCCAAGTAAACAAACAAACAAACAAACAAAACAATCAAAACACCAAAAAAAGCAAACCAACAAAAACTGCTTTCTTTCCTGGCTTTGGCATAGGGTACAACACTCACGACTTTATTCGGTTAGAAACACGCCGTGTTTATGCACTGATTGAATGTAGTTCACTAGCATGGTTAAGTCTTTACAGAAAAGCAGTGATTTCCTACTGTTGCCGCAATTTTAACGTTTTTAAAATTAAGTGTTACTTGTTCTGTTTTATCCAATTTCCCAAATGTTTAACATCGAGGCAGTACCAAAGAGTTATATTCCTAAAGTTGTTTACAGATGGTGCTTAACTACTTATCATAGTCTCTGCGGTTCTTCCTGGGGTGAGAAACAACCTTAAAAAGCAAGATCAATAGGCCTGTGATAGGTGTATATGGTAACAGTACACTCTGTGTAATATGGTATCTCCATGCA